AAAAAAAAAAAAAAAAAAAAAGAGGTAAAGACAGGGTTATTAACTCGGAGCCAATCACAGCCAACACAGCACTAAACCCTTGGCACACGGACACAGCAGGCAGGAGAACTCTATTCCAGTTTGTGTACTGTCAGGCTGGTCCGGGTCCAGGTTGCCTCCTGAATTGGCTCGACTCACTGATAAGAGGAACTTCACACAGGTAGTAGATTAAAAATCGCCACTACAGCACCGCTCCGAGATTAGATAAAAGAAAAAAAAACAAGAACGCTCACATGAAATATTGGATATTTGCCACAAACGAGGAAATAGCAAAATGACATTAAAAACTTGATCTAATTTCAAAACATTTCACACTTCGCAGAGATGCACTGATGAGAGCAGTTTCAGAGGATAAATCAATAAGAAAGCAATCAGATTAAAAAAAAAAAAACCCATACAGCCGTTTTATTTATTATTTCTTCAGGGTTCATAAGAAATCTCTGCAACTTATCTAAGAAGTGCTCTGATATGGAGAGTCCTACAGTTTTCTCATTAGCTCTGTGTATTTTGCAAAGGCACTGAATTGCGTTTGCAAAGTACACATTTAGCTACGGTCATGAACAATCTTAACTTCTCTGAAAGCAGGTTTTTAAAGTCTGACTCTGTGCCCCCAGATGAAATCAACGCCTGCTATAAATGTCAGTAAAATGTTCACTCGCAATGTATTATTTTTTTCCATCAACTGGCAGATGGTGGAGTAGAAATTTTAGATCTCGCCTTAGTTTGCAAACCTTGTTTTTAATGCTTAAAAATAATGCAGTGTTTAAGTAAACATGTGATTGGCCTATATTCAGTGTAAAAAAAATGTCTTTCTGATTGTTATGAATGAAAGTAATTATTAAAAAACGCTTTCTTGAATGCTGTTAAATGGCCATTTGTGTGCACGTGTATGAGTTTAAACAAACATTTATATTAATTAAAAAAACACCATAAACACTGGTCTAATCTGTGGCTTCTAAGATGCTAATTTTATCCAGATCTTACTTTGCATCAATGTGTTCATTAACCGAAACTACAATCTCTATCAACTATAACCAAAGCACTGTAAGGACTTTGTTTCTGTGAAGGTATCAGACAGTTGGGATTTATTTAACAACCGATTCTTTCAATGGAATGGCCTGTACAGTAGTAGAGTAATCAATCTCCCCACTGTCTACTTTGGTTTAGTTCAGAGAAGGAGGCAAGCGACGGCCTTACCAGTGGAGATCGTGTCGGGTTAAGGGGCAGTGGTTTCTTGGGCGGGCTGAGTCTCTGCGTAGTGGCGGGGGATTTGGGAGGCGCCGCTGGGGGCTTTCCAGCTGGCAGAGGCGGTCGTACCACCTTGAGGTCCCGGGAACCACCCTGTGGAGACGGAGCGGGTCTCAGAGGTCGCACAACGTTGACTGGCTGGGTACCATTTGGCACGGGGCCCGGTCTGAGAGGCAGGACCTCTTTGCTGGTGTGAGGAAGCTGGGATCAGACAAACAACAACAAAGCGTAAATTAAAGAACAACTGCTCAAAATAACTTCTGACCATTTTCTAACTTGCTGCTGCTAATATTTTCTTCTTTTGTTATAAAGCTGTGATTTATGAAATTGATTTATGAATTGATGTTGGCAATGGTGGTATTAATCCATCATAGACGAGCCATAAGCAACAATTATCACTAATATGCCTGATTTTTCTTAAACAATGGATTCATAGTGTTTGAAATGTCAGAAACATTTAAATTGCTTTTGTTCCCTGGTTGGATTTACGAGCTTCATCATTCCGTCAAATCGACAGCATTGTCATTCAGACATGGATTACTTTTAAGTGAATGTTCCTCACGGCTTCATATTTGCAAAATTGGACAGAACAACAAATGTCATAATGTATAGTAATGCACTAACAAACAGTAGCCTATCAAACGGTCCATGTTTACAGCCTGGTTCACTTACGATTACCTAAACACTGAAAATTCTGTCTGTAATGGAAATCTCAACAATTGATCCTCTGTCTATGTCTGGGATAATTTAAAATGATACGTTATTAAGAGAGGTACAACTGTTGTTCCACATGTATAAATTGCCAACTCTCTCTCTTTGGAGATACTCATGTGACTCCTGCTGCTGTCTGATGCTGGAGGTGTTCAATAAACTCAGAGGAAAGATTCCTACAAACAGCTGGAAGCAACAAACTGAACATTTTGTGAAAACCCAAACTATACATCACTCATCTGAGCTGTTGGTGCCTGTTTTCATCTCAGTGAAGTTTTTAGTAATGGACGTTTTAGTTTGTAATAGATATGACTTTGAGAATGGGAAAGGTGTTTTGTGAATTTGGCAGCAAACAGTTTTTGGACCAATATTGGTGCTGTAATGTGGAAAAAGCCTTTTCCAATCAGTCCACAGAAAGTGTATGCATCTATCTGTTAATGTGACAGCAGTTTAGTCATAAATACTGTCATTTTTCTACTTCTTGTAAGATATGTGTCGGCATTTCCATTAAGTCTATTTTAAAAAAAACAGCTACAGCTTAATGCCTGTGTGTCAGCAAGTTTTTTGTATAAATACATTTTTTGTAAGTTATGGTTTTCCTTTATTTTTCTCATGTATTTTAATGTTCTTAGTGTTGATTAAATTACCTACTCTTCTTTTGTTTTCATTCATTACTCATTTTGTTTGCAAGAAATGCCGGGGATTTGCATCATTAAATCATACCAGTGACCAAAAAAAAAAAAAAACTGTTTGGAAAAAAAACAATGATTTCCATCCAAACAGTCCTGATTCCTTTGTTGTTCCATTTTTAATTTCAATCTTGAATAAAGTCTTGTTTGTTTTATTTCAGAGGAGCTTCTTGCTGTCTCAGGATAAATATGTCAACTTTTTTTTAGTAATTCTCCAACAATGATGAGCTACTGATGGCATGTAAAGGAGCTGCTTTCCACCTATTCTGTACTATTCGACTTAACATTATCATTTTACCATTTTTTGCCCCAGTATATTGCTTTTTGGTACAATTTCCTGAGACAAAATGCAAAAATAAAGCGCTACAGCAGCTGCCAATGAAGAGGCAGGTAATGAGAAAATGGAACAAAGTGTAAAGTATTAGTTATCAGTACCAGTTGTAACTCTTAAAGCTCCACTTACTCTAGAATGTGCAGATCCATGAAGTTTTTGCCTTTATGTACACAGACTCCTAACTTCTAGCTGCAGCTTGAGCACACCAGCTCACCTATGACTCTGCTAAAACACTGTAAAGCTACTCTCTGGTACACAATGACAAGTTGTAACACTGGGGTGAGTCAGCCATACATGTTCTAACCCGAAGCTGCCTCTCAGGAAGAATAATGATACAGAAAACCAAGCACAGAGGATTGATTCCTAAGATTTGATACATTTGAAACCCTGGAAATCTGAATCTGTGTTTTTAGGACAGTCATCGGTACACTGCAATTAAACGGAGGAAATGTTCTCCAATGGCACTGACTGCTTATTTCGCTCATGATTTGTCTTTAAGCTAAACACCATGTGGATATGTTAACAAGAAACAAGATTCTTACTAGAGGGGGCTTTTACACCGAGCTGCATCTTGTGTACAAAACATTCCATATGAATGCAATTTATTATCACTATTATTATTGCCTTTCTTTCCTTCAATACTTCTTATTTTTTTTCCAGCTCCTTTTGTGTCTCTCCCTCCTTGCCAATGACAAATGTAAACTAACCCTGAACTGCTAACCCTTCCAATTAAATGAATGCTATAAAAACAAGGGAATAATGGCCTGATGAAATTATGCTTGAGGCTCAGGAAATCAGTGGAGAGGACTGAAGTGGACGTGGGTGGAGGCGGAATCTAAGTGGTCACACAATATAACAAGCTGCTATAAAATGAGGCCATTTAAGACGAAGGTCAGCTGAACGGACAGTCCATTATTCACTAAACCGCGGCAAGAGAAACAGTCACCAACTCCCTCCCATTTCTGTCCTCCCTCCTCTTCTCTCCAATCTGCACCACACACATAGACACCCCCACTCACCCCCTTGTGGCCACTTGCTTTGTTGATTGGTCCGACCACCTTCAGGTGAAAGGCAGGATTCAGATGGCCGTTCTTCCCTTTATCTGCTGCCGCCTCGGTCCTGAGCAGAGAAATGAGGACAGACAGAAAATAAACCGGAGCCTGACGCCTGGAAGCTGTCTTGCTTCATCACTCTTCTCAATCTGGCATTGATTTTATGGCCTCAGGTGGGAAAAGAGACAGAAGAGAAGTCAACATGAAGTTTCTCATCCAGGATGATGTGAGAGGAAATGAGGAGGTGAAGGATAAACCAAATGTTTCAGCGCTGTGTCTGGGGAGCTAATTTCTGATGAGGCTGTCAAGTTGAACTGAGTGGACTCTTCGCTCAACAGCTTCTAATACACACACACACACACACACACACGTACCATGTAAGATAAAGCTTGGTGTCACTCAAGGTATCATACACTGGAATGCACATATCAGCAAATGAATCAAAACGAGTGATGTAATAACTGTAACATTGGAATGTAAGCTGTAAATGAACTGGCACTAGTGTTTCCTATAGGAGCCAGTGTTTCTGCAACAGTGCCTCGTCTCGGTTACGATGAGCAAAGTGTCACTTTAATATCATAGAGCCTTTGGTAGTGGGCTGTTTTTGAGAATGACATGACGGGATCAATATTAATGTCATGTTTAGAGCTGGAGGAGTCAGGGCGGGGTCACCCAAGCGCAACAACTGCAGTGTGTGAGCGGCTGAGAACATAAGGACAGTGGACAACATAACTATATACGCCCTTGTGCAGCATCACTCCAATGTTAAATGATTCAAAACTGTACCACCTCACATTAACTGCATTACTTTTGAATTGAACAGTAGGGTATTTGTTTTTATGTAAATGAAACTGTTTTCTACATTAATACACAGGAACAGTAGGAACTCTATGCAACAACAGTCAGAAGACCTTTCATTACTGACATTCAAATCTTTTATTTTTTGATGATCCTTGGTGTGGAGGATGCAACGGTTACACTAATTTCTGGAGAGATGTTCTGCCATTCTTAACATTTTTTTTCAGCTGCTTTTTGCAGGAAGGGGATGTGTTGCTCCATCTTACTCTTTAAAATACCTCAAAGGCGTTCTATTGGACTTAAGTGAAGCAATATGTGCCAGGTTAAAGTTTTTCCATCTGTAACAACTCTTGTGTGATGATGACAGTGTGTTTAGATTGTTGTCATGCTGGAATATTCCTCTTCTGCCAAGCTTCAGGAGTCATCTTGTCAGCCAGTATTTTAGCATATCCACAGGCATTAATGGCACCATCTATAAATATCATCTCTCCAACAGATTTTGCACTCACGGATCCTCATATCATGACATGCCTACCTCTGTGCTCTACTGTCAGGACTATGCTTTCACTGATATCCCAGCCAGGTTCACACCAAACGTGTTGGACCCCATTTGAGGAAATGTATTTTGCCAAACAAAAGAAGTGTTCCATAAAAGTCAGCAGACTTTTTTTTTTTTTACGGAAGTTTAATCTTGTAGTTTTTTATTGACCAGCAAGCACTTTTTAACACAGTCCATAGGGGTTGACATTCTGCACTGCCCTTCACACTGTCTGAGCTCTCACAGAAACTCCCTGATAACTGTGCCAAACCTGAAGCACCTGCCTGTCTGACTTCCACAGATAGATGGTGCAAATAGGATGCAGGTGATCGGTGTTTTCCATTTGACCTCATGATGATGCCGTTGACTCACTATTCCAACGAAAAAATACAGGGACAGTGATTTTAAAAAATGCCTGCGCTCATTATTATGACTGTAAATAAACAGCACTGTTGGTTTTAAACCCCAGCAGTCTGTCTCTAACTCTGTGTGTCACTGCTGGGAAGGTAGTGAGTGTACAGCATGTTTTTTCACTAAAAAAAGTTAATGAGTTGTAAAGCCAAAAGAATGAGCTGAAAGAGTAGAAAAAGCTCTGGAGCTGAAGGAATCAGCAGTTTTGTTACTGTGAGTCCTTTTTCCATTTTCTGTAGATTTATTTGATCGATTGCTGATATAAAAATATTAATAAGTGGAGGTTTGGGGGAAAAAAACAGAGTACCTTTAAATTGACAAGTATTAGTTTCATTTTTCATATTTTTGCAGACAAGTGCATTCAAGCCCAACAGAGTAAAGACTTACTGAAGTGCTGTTGTACGGGATTGAAGGAAGTTTTAGAGGTGTACTTAATAAACTGATAACTCAGTGTATGTACATACTGCAGGCTCTTAGCTGATTAGAAGTCTTTCCAAGCGTATTGGACGTATATATGCTTAGAAAGGCCTTTAATCAGCTAGAGCCAACTGCCGTCCCGCTGGTGAACTGTAAATGAACCCAGACTATTGGCCGTGGAACAAAACCTAAAAAAGCTGAGGGTTTTCAATGCATCCGGTGCTGTTAAGAGTCTTTTTAATCATCGTAGCGGCTCAATTTTCCATATCGTTAGCCGTTCATTCAGTTGTTTCCCCCTCTGTCTCCTTTTTAGCAGCAGTTACCATAAAATCCTGCTGAGGCCCAATATCACCAGTATTTAGCCTTTCTCTCTGTCTTCATTTGGAAGGTCAGGGGCTTTAAAAGGCTGCTGTAATGCTGGATCCTCTCCAGACACATTTCTATTCTGTAAATCACGGTGGAACACTTGAGTATTTTCAGAGGCACTAACTCAGCCAGTGTTATGACGAGGCTGACTCTGTGGGTGAGGGATATGGCAGCTCTCATAAAGGAAGCTGTGGGGGTTTACGAGGACATGGATTTTGTTTGGTTCTGATTGAGGTGAGCTGCGGCACAATATGCTGCCATTTATGCTGATGTTGACATGAAAAGTTCGGGTGTACTCATCGATCTGCCAGGAGCGCTCGCTGACACGGCAATGTACGCTTCCTTCCTTCTTTCTTTCCTTCCTGTAATTCACCACTTCCTTTTCTCCTTTGCATTATGGTTTTATTTCCTTTCTCATTTTTACTTCCTCCCTATATGACCTTTATTTTAAAAAGCACTCCCATTTTCTGGACTTTTTTCCTACCTCCCATGATTCGTTCATTTCCTCCTTTCATGTTTTGTTTCCCTCCCTTTTCATGCAGACTGATATGTAACGCTCCACTGCATAGAAATACTGTTGTTGCAACAAACCAGTGGTCTAAAGAGAACATTTTGTTTTATGTTGCAAATTGCACGTGTTTGTATAGAGTAGAAGCTAACAGTTATTTCAATTAACAACTAGTCTGCAAATTATTGCAAAATATTCATTTCTAAAAAATTTCATTTGGCCTGTTTTCTCTCATGAAAGTCAGAGATCAGTAGCTACACAAACTGTTGAGAAAAAAAGGGGCAAAACTTCAATGTTGTGCCTTATTTCCCAAATTATATGTCTGATTATTGCACATAAAGCCTAAAAAACAAACAAACAAAAATTGTAGCTATATACAGATATCCATGGATGCAGAGAAAAAAGCTACTGCTAAGCTAGGCTAGTTCAAAATATAGATATCAAATTTCAGGAAACAGAAAAACTCTAAACCAGCTTCAGATAGCCTTAACTGGTTTTTCAGTTTTTCTTTCATGTTCATGTTATTTTTGCCCTAACGTGACAAACTCTGTGGTAAAACGTTTTTTTGTCAAGAGAAGATTTGAAAAAATCTGACATTATCACTCAATTTTGACCAAATATGTTGTTGCTGTGCTTTCACAGCTGTCAGAAAAATGTCAATTACAGTCTTCCAGAGGCCATGCTGACGTCCTTTAACAGCCTGTTTTGATTTAAAAATAGCTCCAAATCACATCTTCACATTTGAGAAGCTGGAACCTGTAAATTGGTTGTGCTATGGCTTGTAAAATGACAATTTTTGAAACTACAAAATAGTTTTTAGATTTGTTGCAGCTGACTTTTCAATCAGTGCACTGCTTTTGTATATTATGTTGTCGTATTGTATTCGAGCATTCAGGACCTGCGTTCAGCTACACACTGTGTCTATTCTGTGTAAAGCTGACAGCTTGCATCTGGTTTTACGATTTCTTCTATAAGTTACAAAAGAATTTCTCTGAGCCATTCTGCTGTCTAGTAAATGGGGCTTCTTGAGCTAACAATAAGTAAAGAACGAAACAAAGCAAAAAATTTTGCTAGGGCTTTTGTTCTCCCTAAGTCAATATTAAGGCTGTATCCCTCAGTGTCTGACAGTAGCAGCTTGTTCTAACTCTTCATTAAATCTACATGATGTTTACACGGTGAGAAACACTCAAACAAAGGCTTTCAAGAATCACCACCTTTTTTCTCCTTAAACAGCTGCTACGTTGTTATCTCCTTTTGACCCATTACTGTTTTGGTTTTTTTAATGTTTCATCACATGAAAGTTCTAAATGTCTTGTGCATCATTTTAAATCCATTTCACTAATATTCAGTCTCACATATGTGGCATCCTGGGAAGCTTTGTAAATGCTATTTTTTTTCTACTTTTGTTTTGTGGGCTCGAACAATGTTTAGCTACATGGTTTAGGTTTGTTGTGCCTTGTGTATGATGACAATAAAAAGCATTCTATTCTATTGTAAGAGGCTCCTGTTTGGTGCAGAAAGGCAAAGATCATATAAACAAGCTTTTATGTAATTACATGTCCTATGAAAGTAATTGTGTGCTCTCATTTTCCCCTGTTCTGGATGTTATTGTGCTGTAGGAAAGTGTGTATTGTGCTGTTAGCAGACAAAGGGACACACAAACAGATAGGATAGAACGCCGTACTTGTGGCTCTTGTTCTTCTCTCTCTGGGAAAGCCACTTGTGGTAGTAGGAGGTCTTGACCCTGTAGCAGTAGAAGACCAGCAGCACCGCAGGTAGGACCACCAGGAAGGCAAACAGCAGCCCCACCACTAGACCCACTTGACCTGTGGACACACACACACACACACACACACGCTGAGTGCATTTACATCATACACTGTCTTTAAATGATGGACGTTGCCACCCTCATACACCCATTATCGTTCTGAAGCCTCAGGTTCACAATTTGTATTTTACCGTCTTGGTATTTTCAAATTCAACGTAATGAGCGGATCTGACAGGAGAACCCAAGGACACTCCGCATGCCCATATCAAATCAAATCAAATCAAGTTTATTTTCATTTTGCTGTACATATGCAGTAGTAAAGGCAAGATGAAAGAGCGTTTCTTCAGGGTTCAATAACTTAAAGCAATTTAAATAAAGAAGTGTTTGCATATCTGGATCAGCAGCTCAGCATTCTGAATATGGTAGCGACCTGACAATTACCCTGCTTTATCAATATTTTTACTCTAAATGAGACCAATATTTATGAAATTAACATCATCCTGTATTAAAAAAAGCTTTGAAACTAGGGATTGAGGAATTGAGACAATAAACTTGTTAGGAAAATTAGGTAATTGATTCACTGAAAAGTAGGATCATTTTGTTATCTGTACAATTAGAACTTCAGATACTTCTTCATTGCTATGTCCATCTTCTACATACGGTCTATAGTTTACTCCATATTCCTGCTTTTTCTGATTGGATGTGAAACGTGGTTTCTACATTGATCATGAAGTGACTGGATTGACCCCATTAAAATATCTACGTTGTACTGGATCTTCGGCCTCCAGAACATTCAGATTCTCCTCTTGGCTCTCTCTTCTTTTATGTTATTGGTGTGTTGGAGTTTTGCCTCCTCTTCGGAAGGTCCTGAAGTCGCTTGCCCTGGATCTACTCTTTATTATGTTTGTGATGGCGCTATAATTTTGTCTCCTTGATTATTCATACTGTGAATTTACTATGTTGCCTTTCTGTACATGTAACATCTGTTGCATGTCTGTCTGTCCTGGAAAAGACATCCCCGCTCTATTCTTTCTTAGGTTTTCCTTTCCATTGAAAGGTACGTTGGGGAGATTTTCCACTTCGATTCGATACTGTTAGTATGTCATCAGGTTTTCTTTTACAGTCTGTGCAGGTGTGTCTTGACTCATCCATATAACACTGACTGTCATTTTCTATAGTCTTTCAGCACATGATAATGTCAACTCAGCAGGGAAAGATAACCCTTACACAGATAACCTTGACATGCACCATTGTTAGGAGGCAGTCAATAATTATACGTTTCATCTGTGGGTGGACAGTGTTCATCGAAAGAAACAGAACAGCAGTTTTAAAATATTAATGAAGCTAAATATGCTGAATGCACAAACCTTGTGTGCCTCATGTGAATTGGCTAGCTCTTTTTAAAAAATCACATTGTTATCCAAACGGAAAATGAACATACCTACTGGATTTTGTTTACTAAGGTGGAGGCAAGCCTTGAAATGTTTTTTTTTCTTGCCAACTTAACGAGTCTGTAGAGTTTTGGTAATTATACAGATTTCTGTATGCATGATCGGATGTTTGCAGTTCATTCAGTTCCTGTGAAAACCTGACAATAACTGGGACCATTGTGTACTAGAATAAGAGAGAGCCTGCTCATTATTCTGATTTTTACATTCATAAACTTACGACAGATTAAGACAAAGATTTTTGGAAGTGGCACAGCAGGCGAAGCACTGAAACCTACATTTCACATAGTGTAACAAAGGAAAGGATCTTTTAAATACAATACCCACACCTTTCAAACTTCGCACCTCCAGTTTATATGACAGGCTTTTTGTTATGACCTTGATGACATCACTGTGTTGATGACTGTTTTCACAGCCATACTCATGCACTCTAATTAATTCTTGATTTCTCCTTGGCCTTCCATCTGCAGTGCGACTGTTTTCAAGCCAAAAGCTCTGATGTGTCATTGCCATGTCATCTCCACAGTCTGCCTGTCATGTAATTGATTAGGTAGAGTCACTACTTTCTAGGGCACAGCACACTTTGAAAATAGAGCACACTGTGTGTACTTGCATTGTCCATGTTGGAAAGACAAACTTATTTAGACCATTGACTGTTGTATATAGAGATGGATGAACCCGATGTGATGTCACCCCTGGGTTTCCTGAACAGCGGCTTTGAAGCTCAGTGTGTTGGCTACAGCTGTCACCATCTCAGCGGTGTCCGACTCCTCCTACCTCCCAGCTAATCCAAAATGTGTTGTTGAGTGGAACTGAGGTGGATCAAGCAAATGTCTTATTGGCTTTATTAAGACTGCACGTAGCTGCCACTCAAAGTGCTCACACCCTTCATTACGCAAACTTTAGGGCTTAATACAATTTAAATTTGCGAGTTATATAAAATTAATCCTGCTAGAGTTGACATGAATTGGACAAATAGCTATAAAGACCAAAACCTTCTTGCTGTACAAGGCTGTTAATCAGAATCAGAATCAGAATCAGAATCAGAATCAGTTTTATTGCCAAGTAATTTTTACATCACCAGGAATTTGACTTGGTCCATTGGTGCAAAGAAGCAGAAAACAGATACCAAAATAAAATAAAATATTAACATGTTTATTTTGACTGTTAAGGTGGCTATTTTAACATGGGGCTCTATGGGACCTGACTCGTTTTAGGAGCCAGCACCAGTAGGCCATTTAAGGAACTGCAGTTTCTAGCACTTTCATGTTAGCTTCATCTTTTAGCCCTGGATGTTGCTGCTTGATTCATACACAGTGTGGAAACTAACCCCCAGTCACCATAACACAAATCTTTGATTTTAAGGGCAAAGATTAGGTTTAGTTTAAGAATTTAAATCCCAAACAGTTTTCTTTGGTCAAAGTGTTACTCACTGTGGACTCATTTTCCACTGCAATATGAAGTACTGTATTGTAACAGCACAATCATTGCTATGTGTAGAGCGAACGTCTCAAAGATATCTCCTGTGCGATATTTAAGTGTCTGGACGTGTTACTCATACTGGGGGGAGAAAAAAAAGGCTTTACATACTGAAGATATTTTACTATTTACATTTTAAATTTGTTTCCATTCTCTTTCCATACTGCAGCTCAGCTGAAAATCCCAGAATTTTTGTCATATGATTTTTGGTTGCACCTGAGTCACTGTTAGCTTGCTGGTTGTACATAGAAGAGCATATTATTATTATTTATTTTTTTTATTTGGACAGAATTTGGTGCAAACTATATTTTTTGGCAGATCAATTGATAGATGTAGAATGAAGTGATTTTGACGATATATCACGATTATAAACTTACATTTGGCTAATTTTCCCAATAGAACAGCATGCCAAAGATGACTAGTTCGAAGACCGTCGGAATATTGTTCTGGCTCTGATAAATGGTATAATTTTGATGAGATAACGTGCCTTTCAAAGCCAGTGGTAGGTTTTTGGGTTCAGAGGATTAAGATTAGGTTAAGGTCAGCTTTCGGTTAAAGTTAGAATAAGGTTAGGTTTAGTTTAGCTTAGAGTAAGTCTTCAGGGAATGTAAGTCAATGAAAGGTCCACTAAAGTGCGTGTATGTATGTGCATACTCACTGTCATATTGAACAGGTCCGCTGTCTACGCTGCCGCCGAGTCCTGGCTTCTCACAGAAGGGTGGTGCATAGCCTCGATTGCAGTGGCAGTTTCCATTGCTGTTACACACCTATACACACACACACACACACACACACACACACACACACACACAGAAACAAGGCATTTGTTAATGTGATTTCCTGTTTAGACCCTGTATAATCTTGTGTGCGTATGTGTGTCGGTGTATGTGTGCCTGGAGGTATACCAGTCAAATTAGAAGCACTAATTCCTTGTTTACTACAGACTGGCACTGTATGCTGTTTAATGGGATTTGCCGTCTCAGTAGGATAATATTTACCTTTAGATATTCACCTTGTAAATGGAACAGACTGCAGAACACTGACATTATAAGAAATGACATGTCCCACTTGCAAAGGCGTTTCCATTATCTGCACATAATGCAGCAACTTGTACCATGAATATTAGGAGAGGTGTGTGTACTTCTTTTGTCATGTTCTCTTTGTACTCAGGTCTCACTTGAGTTCTTCTCAGCAAAATAGATAATTGAGGCCTCGAACCATCAAGAGCCCAAAAGGCCCCAGGTTCACGGTGTGGCAGGTAGTTCTTAGTAATTTGATTAAATTGCAAATGTGTTTAGGAAAACCTGATTGAAACACACCAAACCCGGGGCATGTATTATTACACTATAGGAGCACTGATTGGTTTCAGTGGCTCAAGGCAAGCTATAATGAAGCTGCCATGTGCAGTCTGCTGTGTGCACTCTACCCAGTGGACACAAAGGGAGCAGGACACACTCACACACACACTGTGTACAGAGAGTGGAAGGAACAGAGGTGTAGTAGTGGCTGATGGCTTTTTTCTGCCACAGGGTCCCCCAGTGGGTTAATCAAGCCCTGGTCTTGATGAAGGATGAATAAATGAACAAGGAAGGCCTCCCACTGCCTTACCAGTCAACAATGGCTAGGCCTGGTATGACAATATACATGAGAAAATGAAAGAGAATGTTTGAAACTGCAAGTCAGCTGGGCCTTTTCTCTTGGTGTTTGCATGTTTTCTCTGTGTCTGTGTGGGGTTTGTACGGGTGCTTCATCTTCTTTGCACAGTCCAAATAGAATAGAATATCCTATATCAGTCCCACAAGGGGAAATCTGCAACGTCACGGCAGCAAAGTGACAGTTAGAGAAGCAAGAAAGAAGGCATGCACAGTCGGATAATTGCTGATTCTAAATTGGCTGTAGGTGTAAGTGTGAACGTGCATGGTTGTCTGTCCCTTTGTGTTAGCCGTGTGATGGATTGGCGATGTGTCCAGGGTGTACCCTGCCTCTTTCCCCAATGTCAGCTGGAACAGACTCCAGCCCGCTGTGACTCTCCACAGGAGAAAGCTGACATAGGTAATGGAAAACTTTGTCTGTTGGTGGCAGCATCAATAAGTCTTGATGTGCAGGTCTAAACTCATAAAAACAAGATGAAGTTGAAAGGCAATTTCAGTGTACCTGCATAAAAACATGTTGTTTTTGTATGTCCCAGACATAAAGGTGTTTGTCATTGCATCTAAACAATTTCTACCAAAGGGGGTTGTGAAAAAGTGGGCACCATTGTGGGTGCCCTGTTTCTTTCAATGGAAAATCTCGCATAACTCAAAGTTGGAGCACTTCTACACTAACTAGAAACTCTCCTGGTTAAATCGTTGGCCTAAGGATTAAAAGGCCCGTTAGAAAACATTTAGGTCTTTGATAAAAAAAGTAAAAGATAGAAGCCTGTGCACATAAAATCTTGCACTCCCATGGTGCATTTCTGCAAGAAACATCCAATTGTGGAGCTTAAAAGTCTGCGATTTTGTGATTTCTACAATTACATTGTAGAGAAAAATCAAAACACAAGCTATAGTTTTAATTGATTTACTTTTCAATTCTGGGCAATTTAAAGGTAAATTCAGCAACCATGTGCAACCACTGTGTTATGTTCTTAAAAATTACAATAAAAGGTTTTGAATTCACTACCATTCTGATGCCCTTTTTTCTCCCCATGGCTACAGCAGGAGAGGCTCATGGAGATTATACTATTTAGATCCATCCACCATGCCAAAATTGTGGTTAAACATGATTTCTCAGAAACAAAGAGTAACCCTTAATAACGCCGTTGAAAGCTTTCCTTTTTGAAGTGCGACACAAGGTTCATCCCTCCCTCCCCACCCCAGTAATTTTCACACAGTCCCTAAGAATAATAATCACCGCAAGCCATTTCACCCAAAACAGGTCTGTGGATAATGACCAGTAATCAGCCACCTCTGAGACTTCATTAGACTCAAAATTGTGAGCTGAACTGGAAAAAGCTCCATTTTACTTCATTACATTTGGCAGTAAATTACCTCTAAGAGTTTTCTATGGACTTGTCTTGAACTTGTGGGAAAAAAAAAGATTATCTGAAGATTGGCATTTCAACTTGATTAATATCTCCCAGACATCTTGTGACAGACATCTAATCCAGCACCCCTAAATGAAGGAGAAAATACTGCTATGCTCCAATTACATCGACAAGTAATTATCCTGTCAGTGATTAACATACCTATTTACCCCATTAGCGCTCGGTCGACATGAAGGGCGCTCAGTTGTTTGCTTATTCTTATCGCTGCTTTATTTCAGATTTTGGAGGCCTGCTGTGATTTCATTGTTGTTTTTGAAGTGTATATTTAGGCATTTCTGCGTAATATAAAGATAAGAAGGGAAAGCTGCATGAAATCAAATGCCATATCCTGGATTTAGACACACCATCGCTGATAGATGATGCATTTTTTCGTCTGCTAAGTCTCCAGGACGTCTAATATGTTCTAAGCTTCTTTAATGAAAATCTCCAGTACAAGTTTATTGAAAGATGCAAACCAGTTGTGCTCTCAAAAGTGAGTGGTACTCCCTTTGCTCATTATTCCTGTTTATTTGCATGAACATCCATCACATTCCAAAAGCCTGAGGATCAATATGAATATAACGATAATGCTAAATTTGAAGAAAGAAAAAAAAAGCCAAAAAAAAGCATCCCAACACAAGAGGACACCCTAAGCTGGAAGGAAGGCAAAACTGTCTATTTAGAATAATCCTGTCTCAAAGCCATTCCTATTATCCATCTACTGTTACACTGAGAGGGGAGGAACAAAAAGGGGACAAACGGCATAAAACAACAAAGTGAAAAGAGAAAGGGATTAAAGGAGGAGAGGATATGTCTGGTGTTTTTCTTCTCGCTCGCAATATTTCAAATCCTAATCAAATAACAATGCTTAGCGAGTGGAAAGCCCATTCCCTATACAGAAGATGGGGGTAAACAGAGACTCGACTCTTTAAAGACTTCTGAGGTGTGAAATTTCAGCCGAAGCTGGGCTCGCTTCAAACGCTCAGGGTCAAAACAAGTTGCAGAGCAGTTCAAAACACAAACTAGGCCATGCCAACTAGGGTTAGACTCATACTGCATGTATGAAAGCCGCCAAGTTTTTCAAAATGTCTTGGCTCTGTGGCTTCATCCACAAATTGTAGCATGATAGGAAGTGACAGAAGTGAGGTGAACGAGCCACTACCACGCTAACAGGAAAATAGTTTGAAAGTTCTTAAGGCCAGTTCTTAGTTTCCGTATGACCAGTGTAAAGGCAGGTGGTTCTATGCATACTACAATAGGTCGGTCTGCTATGTTGCACTACCCATCATATGAAACACTGAAAAATACACCGGAGTCCAGTGGCTGTTTCTGAAAGGCCTTAATTTTGCACTTTTTACAGTCTATAGCAGCTAGTTACAAATTGGGCTGTACATCAGGGGGACATAACACAGGATTTCTGGACAAATTAGAACTTCCTACTGTGTTTGGGCACCTTCCGCAGAAAGCACATACAAAATCAAAACACTCTCCGAAATTCAACTCTTTAAATAATGACTTTTATAGATGTGGATGACACAGACTGTTCAAGGTGGCTAATATTCAACTAAACGCAGATGTCCACAGAGGTGACGAAATTTAAGACGTGTGTCCTTGATGACATGCGGCAGTGAAAGCATGAATTAGCCTTTAGTCAAACTGTACTCGTGCATTTACATTGTCTTGTAACTTGTTGCTGATACTGTGTACATATTTGTAGCATCTGAAAGGCAAAGACACAAACTAAACATGCTCTCTCTTTAGCTATTTTGACCACTTGTACCATGGAGCTAGTTTAATAAATGAGTTTTGAATCAAACACTGTAAAATATGCAATTTAAAGGCAGCTTAGCCTCATAAAATGTCATGAACTACAATAGAAGCTACACTGTTAAGCTCGGCAACTAGGCTTTTAGTTAGCGTAGTCTTAGAAGGACTAGATTTGTCTCTTTTACATGATAATGCTGACACAACCGCTGAGACAGAAGTAAACCTGTGAGAAAACACTTTTTATACCTTATTTTGGGATAATAAAAAATTTGATTTAACTGGTGATTCTTTACATGCTGTTTTTGATGTCCTGGTCACCACTGAAACTGCAGTTATGGCTCTCCCCCCATTCATTTAGATAGGAGCCTAGTCCAGAAAAACCCAGTGATGCTGGGGTCACAAGCAACAGAGAGCATTTTACAGCCTCAGGCATGAGCTCTCCTCTGCACCAGGCCTCTAGCTGTATAAACCTAACAAGCAACTGAAAATATCAGTCGACTATTCATCACGTGGGCTGGAGGGCATTAATGCTACAAAAGGATGAAGAGATCTGGTCACTGGGTTCTTGTGCTTCCAGGTCACTGACAGGCACAGAGCAATGATACAAAACTGACTCAGGCTTGTGAAAGCTTTAGTGATTTCCTCCTTTGACTACATTTCCAGCTGGAAAATCGACCATAAACCTGTTGTGAGTGTTGGGCAGGGTCTCACTACCACACTGATACAGAGATTGAAGGGTGTGCTACATGAGGTACACTTACACAATCACAGACACACCTGGAGTAATCCTTACATCAGCTGACTAACTGCATGGTGCTCCATGAAGTGACACTGACCTGATGGAAGATACTGATATCTACAGTGAGTCTTTGCTGGATAGTCTCCTGGCATGTGATACATATCTGAATCATCTTTGTGAGCACCTGTGTGTGGACA